CCATCAAATATGGAGAAGCCTGAGAGATTAGCCAAAGAAGAATGGGCTGTGATATCAGGCGATGTATGTGAGCGTTGCCAAAACCTACAACAAATGAATAGAATCTATTATCCAGCAAAAATGATGTGATTCATTGTTAGTATCAGAGGTGCTAATGATTCTGTCCTCATCTGTATAATGAATGATGATTTAACACAGTAGCTGTCATGGTTCTACATTTACATTCATCAGTATTGGGACGTGTGTACGTACTCGATCAGTTGGTTTTAAAGGTCATTTTAGAATCGCACATAGCCGAGCACTTAGGAAGGCCAGCTGTTTACCTCAGAGCTGATTTGACTGCATGTTGCTACCAGCGCTGTTTGTGCTGAATGTGGAAGGTCAGCAGCAGCGCAGCAGATTATTAATTATAGTTCCCAGTAAAATGTGTCCACACGGTACTTTCAACAAACTGAAAACCAGACTGGAGGTGTGTCGTTCTCACCGACTGGATGTAGAAGGGCTCGTGGATGGCTTCCATCTGGTGACTATGGCTGAACTTGGAGGCAGGAGGGCTGGGAGAGCCATCGTCCAACATCAGAGGCCTGGAGGAAGCGTTATTGTTTCACTAAGTTATAAAACAGTAGTAATATCAGCTACGCACAATGATCATCAATGTGCTAATTAACAAATGGTTAATTGGTGTGACTGGAGCACACAGTTACAGTTCTTTTTGATCCGTCTCGCTACTTTGTTACACTGCTTCATGTAATTAACAATGCCGAGTCACAAGATTCAGTCTTTCAAAAGCTCATGTGCTCCTTCGGTTTTGTATTTATTAACCAACAATCCATGCAGCAAACACATGGTTGTGTGTGTGCTTTATATCCACGGATAATAATCTCAGCACTGAAGGGCAAATTCAGCTGGCAGCAGCCAGTAGTGTGTTAGACCCCACCTCCACTATTTTAAATCATTAAACGGGACCTCTGTGGTGTGTATGTGGAATGTTTTTAATGGATTAACCAACAAACTGTATGGTTGTCTGTGGTGATACAGACCATCCAAGGAATCTGTGCTTCAGTTTACAGTGTTAGCATGGACAAATTCATGCTAACACTGTAACTACGATGGCAAACATGCTAGACTTGTGCACATGCAGAAATGAGCTCGAAGCTTTTTTAAAAGGTAAATTTTGGAGCAAGGAAACTTGCAGTGAGAGTAGATGAACTAGGACACAAAACCCAGATTGTGGAAGTGTATGAAAAAAAAGACATACATCTGAATTCTTCCCGACCCAGAAATACACATTTTTTGGCACTTTTGTGTTGCGGCGTGCCGTTGCTTTCTCACGTCGGCCTCGTTCACTCTCAGTTACCAAGACTGTGATGCACGTTTGCTCTAATAAATTTAGC